CCATGCTGTGTGCTGGACCCTTTGTGTAAGTTTCCTAATTGGATGCTGATTGTAACCTTGTGATTTAACATTACTTCATATTGGTTTTTTTGTTTTGTTTTGTTTTGTTTTTTTTAAAAGATGACCGGTAAGGGGATCTCAACCCTTGGCTTGGTGTTGTCAGCACCACGCTCAGCCAGTGAGCAAACCGGCCATCCCTATATAGGATCCGAACCCGCGGCCTTGGTGTTATCAGCACCGCACTCTACCGAGTGAGCCACGGGCCGGCCCTAACATTATTTCATATTGTAATTGCGAAGTTGTTCATAGAGCTTCCTAGTATTTGCCCGGGATCACACGGAAAGGGGTGGAGAGCATGTTTTTCCATTACAACCACATCGGCAGCCTTCCAGATTTATTGTAATACTTGCAGTTTTTTCGACAAAATGTATTAGATGGGTACATCAGTAACTTGAAACTTGATTTTTAAACCCTTTTTTAACAGCTTGGTTTTCAGTTACACATGCTGTTGTGTTTTGGGCTGTTTTTAAATGATGGCTTGCTGTTTACTGCAAAAATGTTTATGAAACATTACTTGAAATCATAAAATATGTTTGTCTTACCTTTAATTAAATAACTTTTGATATAGTACTTGTATTTTTTTAATTTCAGGTGTCGAGCCTTATTTATTTGGATATCAATTTGTTTCTGTAAAGTGTTAGCTTCTGAATCTTATTAATGAGTGTCTTCTAATATTCTTTACTTAATAATATAATAAAATGGTCTCCATATACGGTTTACTTCATGGTTTGAAGGTATTTACTTTCTCATCAGGAACATCTAAGCTAGTTTCAAGTTCTGTATTCAGAAGTACTATATCCTGGAAACTATTCTTCTATTATTATCTTCTGTTTTGAACTGTAATTGTTCTTAAGGGAGCCATAGCTTCAGGCTTGGTATTTTTGAATCGATGCAACATTTGTGTCTTTTTGAAATAAAATTTTTTTATTTTTAATTTTTCATACCTAGATGTTTGGCTTTCCAGCCTTTGATTAGAGTACTAGTGCTAGGTAATTCCAAGAGTAGAGGAACAGAGTTACTAATTTTAAAATCTTTGTAAAGAAATCCACCTTTACATATTAGGGAGTAGCATTATGTTTTTCTGTTTTATCTCTGATAGTGTATTTGCTCGAAGAAAGATTTTTGGCAGTTTCTAAAATGAAGTGAAAAGGAAACGAACTGTAATCTTAGGTAACTAGTAACTGTGTATCGATTTGTTAGTTTTCTTTCTTTCTTTCTTTTTTTTTTTTTTTAAGATGACGCGTAAGGGGATCTTAACCCTTGACTTGGTGTTGTCAGCACCACGCTCTCCCAAGTGAGCCAACCGGCCATCCCTATATAAGGATCCCAACCCATGGCCTTGGTGTTATCAGCACCACATTCTCCCAAGTGAGCCACAGGCTGGCCCCTGATTTGTTAGATTTTCTATTTTTGCATTTTATTTTTTTATTTTTATTTTTATTTTTTTTCCTTTTTGTCTTTTTTCGTGTCCGGCAACGGATCGCAACCCTCAGTGTCGCGCCCGTACCGGACCGGGACCGGCAACGGGATCGCAACCCTCGGTGCTGCGCCCGCACCTCGCCCAGCCAGTGAGCGGGAACCGGTCTGTATGTGGGATCCGAACCCTTGGCGGGAGCACTGCTGCGCTCCTAAGCAGCGCACTGTAGCAGTGCGCCACCGGGCTGGCCCCTATTTTTGCATTTTAATTCATGAGCATTTCATTAATATGTAGTTTATCATATTATGTATGGTAGTATGCGGAGTACATTTGATTTTGTCTGAGCTTATACATAGCACATTCATGCAAATTATAAATTCATTTGAGTGGGTAAACATTAATTTTCCTCAATTTAAAATACCCAAGTACTATCTTAAATTGGAATTTGAGAAATTGACATTTGATTTTAGGGTGGTAAATGTAAATGGACAACTTTTGAAAAGTTACTTATTGAAATTTAACTTTACTCTTTGTTTTATTATAGATCTCATGCCTTCATTCATCCGGCACGGTCCAACAATTCCAAGACGAACTGATATCTGTCTTCCAGATTCAAACCCTAATGCCTTTTCAGCTTCTGGAGATGGAGTAGTTTCAAGAAACCAGAGTTTCCTTAGAACTCCAGTTCAAAGAGCACCTCATGAAGTAATGAGAAGAGAAAGCAATAGATTATCTGCACCTTCTTATCTTGCCAGGAGTTTAGCAGATGTCCCTCGGGAGTATGGCTCTTCTCAGTCATTTTTAACAGAAGTTAATTTTGCTGTTGAAAATGGAGACTCTGGTTCCCGATATTATTATTCAGATAATTTTTTTGATGGTCAGAGAAGACGGCCACTTGGAGATCGTGCACACGAAGACTACAGATATTATGAATATAACCATGATCTCTTCCAAAGAATGCCACAGAATCAGGGGAGGCATGCTTCAGGTAATTTAACATTATAAATAGTACATTAGTTTATATTGATATTTATTAATATTTCAGTTACAAAGATGCTCTTTTTTGGATTTTCCTGGGAAGCCAAAAAATACTTATGGCACAATAGTTTTTTATTTTGCCAGTCTTGCTTAAGTCCACTTGGAAATAGTTATTAACCTACACAGAATGAAAAAACTCTTGTGTTTATTTTATTAATTCATGTTATATAAACTTGCCATTTATCTCAAGGTATATAGACTGTTAACACTGTGAGCCCTGAAAACCTAGAGAATTTAATGTCTCCAGTTGGGGTGAATTATGTTTAGATTTGGTAGAATGGGGAAGGTTAGGTCTTCAGAGAAATTGGACTTAAAACTGGGAAAGGAAAGGAGGATATTTCCCAGGTTGGTCGGAAACACTTATTGTCACATGGTTAATTGTGTTGAGTATGCCTTTTTGTTCTTTTTGTAATAGGCAGAAAATTAGCCATGTAAATAAAAAAATCTGCTTTCCATATTTTCTGACTTGGGGATACTCCTACCAGGAGCAGAAGAGACTGGAGAAATGTACAGTTCTACTTTATTCTTAAAGTACTCGATTTTATTAGATAAACTGAAGCAAGCTGAAAATTAAACTTTCTTGTCTGTTTTTTCCCCTACTTACTAAGTTGTATGCTTTAAATTTTGGCAGGATAAAGAAAAAAAATAAGACAGGTTTACTTTTTGGCTCACATAACTTCTTAAAAAAACAATTTGGAGCACGAGTATTATGACTGTAGAAAAATTTTTATTCATTTAGTATTAATCATTTATGTGTCTAGCATTTTTCTTGGCCCTCTTGGTCTCTGCCTTCTGGTTCCTTATTTGGGGAAACAAAACCAATAATATACACAATAGTCAAAGAACAATTGTTTGACTTTGTGGTACTGGCTGTTAAGTGCAAGAGGGAGTCATAAGAGAGATTAGTGTAGGCTGGAACACCTAAAAGAATGATTTTGGAAGAGGAAGGACTTGAACTGGGCTTTGAGCTTGGCCTTTAGATTAACAGGAGGCAGAAGGAGGACATTTTAGGTGGAAAATTGGGTCTAGCCCAGTGAAAACAGAGAAGGCATTGTTTAAATTCAAGATATTGTGTAGTTCTGCCTGGTTTGAAGAAGTAAGATGTAAGGTGAAATGGAGATTTGTGGTCCAACAGCAGGCTTAGTTAGACTTGAGTCAAGCAGAAGCCATTGTGCCTTTCAAAAAGACATGTGATTTAAAAAAAAAAAAAAAGAGCAAGTGATTTTATGAAATCGGTGTTTAAAGATTAGTAGTATTCAGGATAGGTTGGTTCCTAGAGAAAAGAGGTTTGTAGATACCAGTGGCAAAAGAGAGGAAAAGGCAAATCTAGGACACCTTTGAAGAAAAAAATGAGAATTATGGGTTTGGAAGAGAGTAAATCATTAATGGTTTGAAAATTTGGAAATAGTGTGTAATAGTTGGTAAGGACAGCTTAATTTTGTGAAAGCTGACATCAGGGTCTCACTGGGATGTTGAAGTGGAGAGGTTTTCTAAACATGTAGAAATACTATAATGAGCATGGATGACTACTTTTTTGTTTTTAAAGAACTTCTAGGTTAAAGGATTAAGACAATTCATACTTGAGTGTTTATTTTGGTTATTTCTAATGTGCAGTTCTAAACCTCAGAAATAATTTGTTAGCCAACTAAAAATGTAAGTTTTTAAAATAAAGCTCATTTATTTTCTTTTAAAGTAATAACTGCTTAATGTAGGAAATTTGCAAAATGCAGAAAAGGTACCCAACCACTAGAGATTCTCTTAGTATATTTGTTATGTCCTTCATCCTTTTTCCATGCCAATTTTTTTACATTGTTGTGATTATACTTTGCAGTTTTGTGTCCTTGCTTTTATACTTGAATGAGTTTCTTAGTGTTATATATTTTTTATGAGTAGCTTTAATGACTCCATAATTTTCCACTGGGTACATGTTCAACAGTTAATATTTTAAATAAGTTAATGAAGACTTTACCTGTGCTTCGGACATTTGGAAAGGGGAGAAGTGGGACAAATCCATACTAATAGCACTTGGCCGCTAATGCGGTTTTAGGGACAAAGGAGAGGGAAAAGTCAGATAGTTACACAGGATTAGCACAGCATCTAGCTACATAGGAGATGCTCAAAAAAATAAGTGGCTGAATGAGTGGATGACTCCAGAGATTTCAAATCTGTGGAATCAAAACAGTTTTTGGTAGTGGAGGGGGAGCAGGAATAATAGCTATGTTTACCGTTAACACAGGTTATTAGTTCTTTGCATAGACCTTCCCCATCTATATTTATACTGCAAACATCACCGATAGCTCATAATACTTTTCTGCCTGAGTTTTAAGTATATACATATGAAGAATTAATAATATCAAGTTAAAATCAAAATTCTAATTCATATTTTAAAGTTCTTTTTTTTTTTTTTGTGACTGGTAAGGGGATCGCAACCCTTGGCTTGGTGTCGCCCGCACCGCGCTCAGCCAGTGAGCGCACCGGCCATCCCTATATAGGATCCGAACCTGCGGCCTCGGCGCTCCCAGCACCGCACTCTCCTGAGTGAGCCACGGGTCTGGCCCCATATTTTAAAGTTCTGATTCCCAAAATATCATTGAGGAAATAAATTCTGTAGAACGAAATCTCTACTTATGTTCTTTAAGGAGCAATCTGACTTCGTTTTTCTAAGTTTAAAGACAGACTTTAAAACAACTTTCTAATCACAACTTAGAAATAAATAAAGTACAGGTTAATTGAAATTTTTTTTAAATTAAATAATATTATTGTAAAAAAAACCCATTTGATTTCATGGACTAGCCAAGGCCTTGTTTTAATGAGACTACACTGTAAGCTCTGTGTTCTATATCTTATCCCAGACTTTTGAACATCAGATTTCATCAGGCCTGAAGAAGGTGGCAGCTATTCGAAGTTTTGGTAATAAAATACACACCCCACCCCACCCCCAAAACAAGTTGTGCATTTATGATAGCAGTTGATACATTACTTGAGGAAATTTAATAGATTGAGTGTTTTATCTTCTAGAAAAAAAACAAAGAGTACTTTGAAGGAATCTCTTAAGTTGGAGAGGAGGATTAATAACCAATTATTAATGAAATAGAAAAACATAATAACTGTCTTTTCCAGAAGGGAAAAATCTGAAAATGAGACAATAGCTGAAAGTTTCTTGAATTCATCTTGAAAAGACTTGAAATTTATATTTTCAAGGTTTATGCTGGATAGCGTAAAGGAATATGAATGAACACAAAGGAGAAAGTAAGTTTGTGGGAGGGGAGGGATGTGCTATAGACAGATTTTTTTCACAAGCATTAAATTTTGATCGTTGATACTAATAAGCATGAAAAGATATGGAAAAATTGTTTTATAATGACTTAATGACAATAGCGATTCCTGCATATTAGTTATTGTTTAGACTTCCAGGAAACACCTTATCTCAAGGGTTAACTTCATTTTATTGTACTTAGCAGAAGCACAAAAACAAGTTGTATAATATCTTAAAGGGTTTTAGGGCTTAGAGAATTCTAGGTTTAGTTGTGAAATTTGACCTTTAACATTCTTAGCCAACATACCAGTCGGGCTCTTACTGTATGTGCCAAAGGAAGGAATCCTACTTTTAACAGGAAGTCTTTAGTTGGAATGCTAAAGGCAGATTGAATTTTGAATTCCTTTGTTTTGCACTTAAGTAATTTAGTTCTATGCAGTTTGAAGTGACAAACTTTTAAAAACATTTTAAACATTTTAAAGATGACTAAGAAATCAAGTTATAAAAATCAAACTAAAAAGTGTCAGGCTTTACAAAAAAAACAACTGGATTTATATTTATTCCAATAAATGCATAAGTATTTAGTTAACCAGAATCATATATAGATACATCTGTATTTATTTTGCAGAGGAAGAGAGAAAGCAGTTGGCTTAATTCAGTACTTAGATATCTTGATCAACATCTTGATTATAACATGGGCTATCATGTTTAGAGTCTTTTACTAAAGACCTTGTAGAACTTGATTAGAGTTACAGGTCCATTTTATTCTGTGTAGCCAATACAAAATTTGGAAACCAGAATTTTTAAGCTTAGTTTATAAGGGTAGTTGTCATAAATATCTGCCTTGTGTGAGATTAAGTTCTCTGGAGGTGTTATCAAGTGAAAACTTGGTATAGCAACAAAATAATACTTTATCTGTGTCTTTGGGAAATCATGTATTTAGCTCATCAATGTTTTACTTTATATTAATGGAAGGTGTTTTTAGTTAATTCGTGCAAATGGAAGTTGTTTTAAGGATTACTTATGAATGCAACTTATTCTTTTGTAGGACTAATTGAAATTATGGAAAACTAGTTTTTTTCTTGTGGTTCAAATACTGAAGTTCTTGTTTTTCCACACTGATTTAGTTCAAAATTGGTAGCTTACTTTTTCTTTTTCTTTTAATACTGGCAATCATGTTTTTCTTTGAAGAATTACAGTTGATCTTTTGTAGCTAAGATTACATGGTTAGTAATAAATTTATTTGACCTCATACCGTCTGTGTGGCTGTTTGTAAAATAACTTACACGAAACTTTCCTCATCTGTAAAGTAGTAGTGATATACTACCTCATAGAGCTGTTTTGAGTATGAAATAAGACATATGGAAAGGGCCAGGGACAAAGTACACTTTCATAACTGTTAGTGCTCGTGCCCTTTGTAAGAGTATTATGTGCTGTTCTGTGCTTTTTCCAGATTTGGCATGTTTGGTTATTGAAGCTTCAACTTTCTGGCTGAACTTAGAGTGGAGGTACAATGTATTAGTGCTTGATGTAGCTTTATTTTTTTTTTTTTTTAATCTGCTAGACCTATTTTGTTAACTAGTAAAGTTTTATGTTTTAGACCAGTGATTTCTAATTTTTTCTTTTACTATATTCATCTCTCAATAAGTTTTATAAAATTATCACAAAGAATAGTTTGGAAAAAATGTAGTGCA